AGGGGAGGGAGAGGTGGGGCGGGGCGGCTGCGGCTCACGACAGCAACCAGCGCCGCAGCGGGGCTAGCGGGAGCCGGGGGCTGGGCCGGCCACGCGCGGGGCACCACGGGAGCGGGAGTCCGAGGTCAGTCGGCAGTCACCCTTAGACCGCGCCTGAAGAGCATAGACCCCGTGTTGCGGCCAAAGAGGGGTGATGCGCAGGGACCTTCGGGAAATGTAGTCCGGGCGCCTCGCTCCTTCCGCCGGGAGCTGGGGTCGCGAGAGCTGGGGCCGCGAGAGCTGGGACTATAGGGTCCTAACCGGACCCAGAAAAACCATCTCCGGGGCTGCCGGGAGGTGTGGTTCTCGCCCCCAACTCCTCCCATTGTTCTTGGCGAGACCAGGGCACGCATGAACTACCACTCCCAGGGTGCATGGACTTCGGACCCTGGGAATCCTAGAGACACTGGGAAATGAAGTTCGCGATTGCAGGAGGCGTGGAGTGGGAAAGGGGCCGCCGCAAAGGATTAGTCTCAGTTGGAGGCGCCACCCGGCTGCCGTTCTGCACAGCATGGAGGGAGGATGCTCGAGAGGCCGCAGCTTAGCGGTCCTTCTGCTCAAGGAGAGGAGGAGGGTGTCTGAAAGCTCAAGGAGAGGAGGAGGGTGGAGCACGCGTTCCTCGAGCCCCGGGCTGGGGGTCCCAGACTCAGATTCTGCGCACCGTTGCTTGCTGTGGAAGGGGCGAATAACTTGATTTCTCACAGCCTCCGCCAACAGGGCTTGCTGCTAAGCCAGCCTGGACTTCGCGGCCCTCGCGGGCCCCTACCTCTGGGGAAGAACAGGGAGACCCGGGAGATGGAGGTGGCCCCCCGCACTGAACAGTGGATGCACAGCCACAAGGGGCCGCCACAGGACAAGGGGCAAGGCTGCCCCTTCCCTCTCCCCTGCTCACAGACTAAAGTCTGGACTCGGCTTCTGGACCTGAGAGGGCACAGGAAACTCTTTATTTTGATGGAATCGCCAGCCCCGGCACAATTAATTTTAACTCGTGCAAACTTCACTGCCCACACCCCACACGGGCTCGCTGGCCCAGACTTCTGGGGCCCGCGGTCATCTGGGAGAAGGCTTTCAGCGCCTTTCCTGCGGTGCTTCTTGGAGCCGAATTTGCTAGGCTGCCATTAGCTGCGGTGCTGGGTCAGAAACCTAGCCAGCCCCGTCGGCCCGTCTTTCATTCTTTAATTGTATTGTTGGCTGAAGCCAAAGAAGCTACCAACACCGTCAGGTGGTGGAGGAAGGGGACCCACAGGGAGAGGTCGAGGCCCGGGACGGCCTCGAAGAGGAGGAGTAGAGGAAGGTGGAGCGAATGGTCCATCCAGGTGGGAGCTGGCTCGGCGAGTGGCCGCGCATGTGCGCCTGCATGGAGGCCAGGCTGGGACAGCCGGCCCGGCACAGAGGGCAGCGGTAGGGTGCGGCCCCATGCGTCCGCAGGTGCTTGGTCATGGCTGAGAAGTCCCGGGAGCGCTGGGGGCAGAGGCTACAGGAGAAGGGCTTCTCTCCTAGGGCAGGTGGAGGGGGAGGCCGGTAAAGGAAAGAAGGGGGTGAAGGCTGGCGTAGGGGTTGATCTGGGCGACTGGGCAAGGGAATTGTGTGGGAGCCAAGCACACAGAGAAGGACTCAGGACCAGACAGACCGGAGTTTGGAAGGGAGCAGATAATTTGCACTGGGCGGGGAGCCCATACCTGTGTGGACTCGGTAGTGAGTCTCCATCTGATGCTTGAGTGAGAACCTTTTCCCACAGACAGAACAAGAATAGGGCCGAGACCGGGCAGGTGGGGGTGGGGGAGGTTGTTGGTGGGATGGGCCTGCTGTACTCACATGACCCACACAGGTTGCAAGTGCACCTGTGGGGATAGAGAAGGCAAAGGAGGGCAGGGCTGGGAATCCCAGAGCTGGACCACTGGTACTCCCAGACAAGACACTGGGAGCTACAGTGGGGCTGAGGCAAACGTGCCCTCACCCTACTCACCTGTGTGCCTCTGATCAGACTCTTCCATCTCCCCAGGGATGAACTTTGTGGGGCTCTGGGGGAGGGAACCTGCAGGGAGCAGAGTGAAGGAGGTGCCCTACTCAGGCTGGACTCCTGGAGTCCCAGCCTAAGGAAGGAGAGACCATGTTATAGCATTTGTACAGGGCACTGAGGGGCTTACCTGGGGCAGGACTGGAGTTGGCCAACTGGTTCTGGTTCCAGAGACCTTTCTCAGGGTTCAGGGACAGTGGGATCCTGGGGATGGGGTGGGGAAGAGTTAGCCTTGGCAAAACCCGGGATCCTGGCCAGACCCTTCCAGGAGGGGGAGGTGTCATGAGTCCTCCTCAGGGGCTGGGCTTTGAATTCCCCTATGATGGAAGCTTCTTGTCCTATCATCAGCTCCAGAAATATACAGTAGAGATAAGAGATGTGGTGCCCTTCTACCCATCACTGCTGCCTCTCCTGAGCCACTCCCTCCCAGCCAGGGAGGTCTTCCGTTAGGCTCTTCACTCACCTCTGGTCTCGAGGCCAGACCTCCTGCCAGGCTCCAGTGATGGGGGTGCTATGGGAGAAGGGAGTGCCATATCTGGGTGGCAACAGCAGGATGCTCCACAGGGCAGGCTGGCCCTCCCCCAACCAAGGGGCCTCAGCCGACCAGGGCCTAGGAATGACGCTTGTTTGGAGGGAACCTGGTGGGGGACGGTGGCCAGAGAACTCCCGCAGACTTTCCTCAGAGCCCCTTGGACTCTCCGTCACCCACATAATCACTTCTTGCTTCCCATCTGTTCCCCCATGGCCAATAGGGGATTGCTTGAGTTTTTCCTTTGATCTCATCTGCTCCCCCGCACCCTCCTGCATTGCCTCTGCTATCTCAGGGGTCTCTCTTGATGGCCTTTGCTCATGCAGTATCTCTCGTTCTCTCCAACCAGCTCTAATAAATTTCTCTGGTCTCTGCTCTCCATGTCCCTCCAGTCCTCTCTCAGAATCCCTTGTGGGGTTCTCTGGCTCCTCCTGATGTTCCTTGAGCCCTGGACCCAGTTCTCTAGCCCTGTCCCGTCGAGCCCTCCTGCATGCCTCTTCCAGGGACTGCACCCCCAAGGTTCTGGCCGCTTCCTCAAGGGGTCCCAGTTCCCCAGGCTGCAGTTCTACACTCTCTCCATAAACAAAGTACAGAAGCTGGGCAAAGGTAGAAGGGCTGATGCCTTTCACCAGAGCCCAGCGGCCCCTGCGGCCCAGCTGCTGGCTCACACCTGCCAGGACCAGGCTGTGGGCAGGGAATTCTTGGCTTTCCACAGTGATCAAGGTATCACATAGTGCTGGCCGGAGCCTGGCTGCTAGCCGTACCAGCCGATCAGAGCCATAGGGGCTAGGCAGTCTTGTCGTCGGGAACAGGGGCATTGTGCCTTGCCTGGGTACCAATCTCAGAGGACCTGAAAGAAAGGCCACAGTGTGGGGTCCATGGTGCAAAGGGGAGGGAGGAACAGCGTATTCTCAAGCCTGTGGAGGTGAGGGGAGAAAGAGTGAGTTGCTGGTTCAGAGCTCTCTGTGCCCTGAATGGAACAAATAAACTAACCCAAGAGAGGACCCGAGCTTATCTAGAATTCATAATGGACCAGGGGGTGGGGGTGGCAGGAGAATGGAAATTAGACCATACCCAGGACTTAAAGAATAAGAACCAGGCCATTAACAACCATATCAAATAGTGGGTTTAAGGCTAGTATAGATGGGTCCTGCCAGTTGGCAGTCTCTGACTTAAAAGAGAGCAGACGCTGATACTTCTGCTACTTTAAGCCCTTCTGCAGGGAAAGACCTTGGAGCAGGCCAGGCTTTCTTCTTTCCAGACAAAGAGATCACCATAAGACCCAGTCAGCCCTGGCAGTTAGGGATGGAGCAAGACACAGCTTCATGGGAGAGTTTTGAAAGCTAGTTCCACCCCCACCCCCATCCCCACCCCATCACATTTTGCTGAGTAGTCTTGAGAGGCAGAAAGGACAGTAAGACTGAGGTCATAGCTGCAGGAGGGCATGCCCTAAGACATCAATCGATTATTTCCCTACGGCTGAAACTTCTAGAACATGTCCTCAGAGAAGGACCTGGAAGAGAATCCCATCTAGTGGGTTAAGAGAGCAGGTGCAGAAGCCGCAGAAGAGAAGGTTCCCATCAAGGATGGACAGAGATTTTGAAGAAAGTTTTGACCCCTGAGGAAGTGGGAGAAAGGAAAAGGGGAGGCTATTTTCTTTCCAGATTAGGATAAGGAGATGGTTTAATTTTGTTTTTCATAAGCCAAAAGCAAAGAATAGAAAGAGCCAACAAGGCAGAAATTTATCACACATGAAAACTACCACACTGACTTTTAAGAAGAAAACTGGGAACCCAGATACTAAGAGACAGACCTAAGTGTCTCAGTGCCCAGTAGGCATATTCCTCAGTGTGGGCTCATCATGAGTAAGGACCCTTGTGGGGAGGATTACTACTTGGACCCCTCAGGGAGAAGGCTACAGGTTGGTAGGAAGTGGACAGAAAAAGGGGTGTAATGCGAGGAAAGTCTCAGCTGGGGAGAAGCAACCACTCACCGGTTGTAGCTTCCTCCTGGACACCGCATGCTCTGAACTGCTGTTGGGGCTCCTGGGGCCCCCCTGGAGCTAGCCCCGCCCCTGACCTCACAGTCTTCCATTGGGTGTCCCAAGTATCAGTCTGTCACAGTCCCCCAAGGGGGTGTGGTTTTATACCCCTGGCTCTGCTTCATCCCTCTAGGAGAGACCACCTCCTCTACTTCCAGATTCAAGACATTCTGCCTCCCTTCCTGTCTCATTTCATTTGTGAACTTCTAGAGTCAAAGAAATTCATGTGAGGGGGTGCCTGGCTGGCTCTGTTTGTAGAGCATGCAACTCTTGATCTTGGGCTTGTAGGTTTGAGCCCCATGCTGGGTGTAGAGATTACTTTAAATGAATAAAATAAAAATCAAGGAGCGCCTGGGTGGCTCAGTTAGTTATGCATCTGCCTTCAACTCAGGTCGTGATCTCGGGGTCCTGGGATTGAGCCCTGTGATGCATCAGGCTCCGTGCTCAGCCGGGAGTCTGCGTTTTCCTCTCTGCCCACCCCCACCCCCCCATGCGCTCTCTCATGCACGCTCTCTGCTGTCTCTCAAATAAATAAATAAAAATCTTAAAAAAAAAAAGTTCATCTCGCAGCAAGAACCTTGGAATAATCAGACCTGCATTTGAGTCTCATCTCTGCCATTTACTAGTTGAGTCACGTTGGGCAAGTCACCTCTCTGAGCCTCAGTTACCTCATCCATGAAATAGGGATAACCTTTGCTTACCTCATTTGGAGGTGAGGGTGAAGATGAAACGACATGATGAATGTGAAAGTGGTTTGTCAGTACATAGCATCATTCAAATAGGATTAGTTCTTCTGAGAAGTGTCAGAGCTCTAGAAGCTGGAAGCAGTTTCTACTACCTCAGAAGTAAAAAGGACTGACACATCTGGATTCAGAGGAGAGAGTGAAGGAGGGCCAAAAGCATGCCTTGTCCTTCCTCTCCCTGACTTAGTACTAGGAAGCCGTAACTGCTCTGTGGAAATGACCCCTGTCATCTGGGCCACCACTGGGGACTGAATGTACAAGTGACTCAGATTCTCCCATCAAGCTCTGAAGGGGGCAACCCCAGAAAGGGCCTGCGGTGGTCTTCGAAGAGAAAACTCCCTTTTCTTGGGTTGATGACAAATGACATTTCCCCGAAATCAGAACTCCGGGGTTTCTTTCACTTCCTGTCAAAAGGGTCGAACTCTCAGGAGATTTCCCCTGTTTTCACACGTTAGCACTCGTTAACCTGGGGAAAGGATGAGGTCTGAAAGACTCAAATTTCTTTTCCTGTTTTTTATTATTCCATTAACCCTCATCCTGTGGCAATTTTTTCATTCATTCAACAAGCGTAGAGAAATCATTTATGATATGTGCCTGGTGTATCATATATGCCCAATAAATAACTGGAAGATAAAAAAATCAGGCATTGGTAGGCTGCTCTGGTGACCTGACACAGTCTGGTTCACCCTAGGCTTGTCCTTTACATCCTGGTCCCCTCCTAGACCCAAAACTTTATGTCCCTAAACTCCCGTTTCTCCCTTTGGCTCCAGGACCCCAATATGTTCACACAGCCCCCTACTTTCTCCCTACAGACTTAACATGCCTTCCCCCTCTACCTCTCATTCTAGCTTGAGTATAGACAGATGTTAACCCTTCCTAGATCAGGCAGGGTGTGCCAGTGGGTGGGGCTGGTGGAGGGGCAATAATAGGGTGGGGAGAGGGGAAGATGACTCAGAGTGAAAGGGAAAATGCAAATGGACAGGCCTTATTCATGTGCTACTCTGAACGTTAAATATTTTCCATTTCTGAGCTTTCTAACTCCTCATACCACCACACCCAGGGACTTATTTGACACCCATATAAAAGGCACTTGGCCTGGACATATAAAAGCACCAATCCCGGATATGTATGTATACAGAGAAAAACATTCTTTCTTCAACACAGTAATACAGTCCCTGAAGATATGGAATAAGTGGGGAAAATCATGAGAGAGAAACCCCAAGTGTAGAAGAAAAGGTACAGGGGTCTGGAAGATTACATCATCACCCAGTGGCCTTGCTTCCCAGTCCTACTTCATGTGCCTGTGACTCAGCTCCCCCACTGGTATGATTTACTCATTGATGATCAAAAATATTGGAGACTATGCTCAAAGGGCAGTGTCCTCTATAAGCCAAGTATAGTGACAGGGAGTGTCAGCAGGCTTTCAGGAAACCTAATAGGGAGGAGAAGGGCAAGGGGACTCCCCATTCAGAGAACAAAAGCCCCCCAAGAATGGGAAACCCCATTTTGCCTCCTACTTGGTGTCTACCCCACCTGAGGATATCCTTTTAGAGACTGCCTCCTTAGAGGTATCTCCAGGGTCCTCTACACCTCAGCCCTGAGGCTGGTGATACTCTAGGCCCTTCTCTCTCCGTACATTCTTGACTACACAGCCCAAGCCATCTTGCATTGAGCAGTGACAGCAGAAGCACAAGCAAATAGCACTTTGACTTGGAAGGGTAGGGAAACTGATAACTCTATTCTTGAAAAGTCTCCCATCACAGTCTCAAAAACCTTGTCCACCTTCCACTTCCCAGGATGACTCTGTAGGAATCCCCTGCAGCTGTCTCCTGGGGTGTACCCAGGAAACCATTGGTTCTTTTTTTTTTTTTTTTAAAGATTTTATTTATTTTTTAGAGAGCGAGAAACAGCATGAGAGGGGCAAGGGTCAGAGGGAGAAGCAGGCTCCCCGC